AAAGAACATATCATCTGTCAAAGTTAATGGCAGTGTCCGGGGGAAAATGAAGGAAAATAGAAGGAGACCATTCATTAAGAAGGTGGAGGGAAGGGGGTGTGTCCAAGCTCCACTGTCTCCCCGGGAAAATAAATATATACACAAGCCATTATTTGTGTGTTTACGAGGTGGCACTGCAGCCGCGATCAAGGGCCGGTTCTCATGCTACAGAGATAATATTAGCCCAGACGCCTGACTGATCCGTGGACTCGAGGACAGAGCAATCACCAGGAATGAAGAGGTTGTCGGCCTGGCAGGCTAGCTAACAGCCTGTCTCTCACTCAGAGCTGTGGATGTACTCAGTGGAAGCAATTGATACCATTGTTTTATGGAGAGGAGGGTGGAGTGGGATTAAGGACCGACAATAGGGCTCTTTCTCTGTAAATGTCAGCCGTCACGCCGAGGGACTGTCCGACTGGGCAGAGACACTTTTAAAAAAAAAAGCCAAGGTAGAAAATTAGTGTGGAAAATAGTATGAAACCCTGTGACGCGGGCAATGAAACAGTGTGACATGGGCCAGAACATTCCCGTGCCAAATGGTCGAAATGCAATCTCAAACATGGGGCTCTGGGAAACTTTACAATGCCGATCATGTGAGATCCCACCAAGCAGAAACACAAGGCCTTCAATTTATTGTTTTTTTCAGGATCTGTTTGTCTTAAAGAAAAAAATCAGTACAACTCCGCAGATATATGTGTCAATGATTTCAAGGTCTAGCTTGAAACACATTCCAAATCAATAACCAGGATAATAGGTTATATGGGTCTTTAGCTCAGCCTCATTAGGAAAAAAGGAGACAAACGTGGCCTAAATCTTCAGGCAAATTAACATAGTGAGGAACCTAAAATACCACAACCGATGATCCATTCTGGGCCATTTTATCATGAGACTACACAACGGAGAGATACAAAGTTATCTCTCTGAGTGCTTTGATAACCCCGCTGGCCTTGGACCTCTTTGAAAATCTCACTCTGAAGGTTTGAGGTGAATATAAAGTGTGAGTTGAAGTGAGGTACTCTGCCGCTTTAAGACTGGGATGAAACCGAGTTATTCTACCGCTCTGACCTAATTGCTCTCTCGCTCTCCCGACATGAACACTGGGAGCTGTGCACTCTGACACGTAAAGATTATTTAATACCATCAAAGCCATAAAAGAGGAATAAAAGGCGGCAGTGAGAAAGAGGGGGGTAGTTAACCAGTGGCAGGCTGGTAGGGCTGGGGTGTCCACAGAGTGATGAGGAGAGCAGCAGAGAGAGTATCAGTATGCAAAGCGGGCCTGCGTTACTGCCGCCGGCCGACGTGAGCGGAGCTCCATCATCCCAACATCACAGCGGCTCCACAACTCCCCCTCCAAAAAAAAAATCCCACTCGGCTCCGGCTACACTCTCCCGGTATCAGCTCCCACCCTTCTTCTCTCATGCCTTTTTCCCACACTCGCCCAAGTCCCTAAGGCAGGGACTACGTCATCGGGCACCACTGCCAAACCACTGTAATATACCGTTTTGGTTCTACTTATTCAGACACAGTTGTAGGGCTCTTTCATTAAGGTCAGGCTGGTTTTATTTGTGTAAAAGTACATTGCTTGGTTCCACTGAATTCCATTTGTAGACTGTTTTTCTACGAGGCCAAAGATTGACAAACTATTGGCAAATCAAAGTCAGAATCAAGTTTATTGCCAGGTTTACACATACAAGAAATTTGCTTTGGCGTCTGGCGTTGGAAACATAAACCATCTAAGGAAATAAATTGTAAGCGTAGGTCAAAAAATATAACGATAATTAAAAATAAACTATTTTTGAGAAACTATTTATCATCAAAAAAGAATAAAGACAAATATTTACACCAAATGTTTATTTAAATATACAAAAGAACCTAAGAAAACCTATGACAATGAATCTATGAAACACTACAGTGTATTATATTTTTAAGTGGAGATCAGCACTTCACGTCATAAAAGCTATTCCACCGGAAAGCAAAACGCTAATTCTGCAGTGTGGTTTTTCTCTTTAAGAACTTCCTGAGCTACTGGCAGGCAGAATCTGACAGGGTGTGTGGGTGGGACTGGGTACCGGTGTTTACCGTTAAGCGAGCACTGGGTGACATCTCCAGGGTGCCCTGCCATTGTGGGGAGCATGTCTCATCTGTCAGTGCCTGATGAGTTTGTGCTGCACAGCCTCATGAGTCAGCCGTGTGGGTCTACAACAGGGAGCCGGCTGCTGCTGCTAAGGGCCAGGCTGTGTGTAGACCACCACACACCAAAACCACCTGACACACACTGAGGGGCTTCTCAGGGCAAGTGAGGTCAAGTGCCAAAAAACAGGAGAAGCTTGCTAAATCTGACATGTAAATCTAACATGTTATTCGTGAAGGGTGATATCTTGTGACCGAGATCAAAACGATTTTGCATGATCAACAATGTGGTGACCTACTGAGCTGAATGGATGACACCTGGCTGTAATCCGAGAACGGGATAAACACTGCGCTCGCTTTTTTTATTTGCCATTCAATATGAAAAAAAGGTCACTTACAACATCTACATTCAACATACAAAGCAGAGGCTCGCTTTAACCATGGCCGTATAGATCAAATAAATCATTTGGAGTAATTTAATGAATACATAAAAAAACAGAAGAGGGGTCATTCTTGCCAAATGTCATGTTAGTAATGATTTTAAATACAAAAAATGTAACTTAGTAACATAACAAAATAGAATTAAAAAGATGATCGTGTTCTCTACCTTGCACATTGAGTAATTTTTCCATAAGAATTTATTATTTTTGAATTTCTAAGCATTTTTGAAGGAAATACTTACTACCACAACATGCCCAGCTCTGCCTGAATGGGTGCTATGTTTCAGTTTAATTAACTAAGACCTTATTTTTTTCTTTTCAAAATGTCCATATTTGAAATATTTGGATTTTATGAAAACCACCCAGAGCGTAACCAGCCGGCAGATTGACCTGCCAGTGCCAAGTATTCTCCACACAAATGTATCTTTGTGAACAAATTCCTCATCACCTTTTATAACCAAGTCATTTGTTCCACATGTGATGAGAAAAATAACATTAATAAATGTGACAGAGCTAGGAGCCACTGACTCACTACTACTGTGTTTTTTGAAGAACAAAGAGGGAGAAAAAAAGTCATTTCCAGTGTCATTCACACTTGACTCTACAATCTGCAGAGGAAGGAAAGGACGTTGGGAGGGAGTGGGGGATGTGAGAGGGCAAAGCAAATGTGCCACTGCCACCACGATGATGACGATGACACATTTAGTGCCATTCGAGGCTGAGGCGTGCGAGACCTTAAACTGGCACAGCTCACACACAAGGAGAATACCTACTTCCCGTTGACGACTGTCGGGAGGGTTGACAGTGTCACAAAGAAACTGTGCGTTGTGCTGCGTATCAGAACACCGCTGCATTTTGAAAAAGACGTTTAATTGCTTGGTTATTCTGTTTGGTTGCAGGAAAGGATGCCAAATCATTTCTGTTTTAGTAGGAGCAGCATGATAAAAAAAAACATGTGACTTAAACATTTACGTTATCAAAAATCTCTAAACCTCAATAATAATCATATGTGACAGTTCAGAGGGCAGGGTAACAATCTTTCCTTGAGTTTAAGATTGACCAATTTGCCAACGGCGGTGGCACAACATTTAACTGTGAATCACACTAAGAGGAGGTGACCCACAGACACACCAAATTTCCCGCTGAGTGACTGGTCCTCTAATGCATCTTGCTCTAAATTTCACAGGTTGTCCCAGGAAAGTGCAATTTCTTCTTCAAGCCTCACCCCACAACAACAAAAAAGTCGGTAAACACTGCCATGTCTGCAGCCAGTACTATATAAGTTGAGTGAGCCATTATAAAATCAGTAGTAGTGCCATCAAATATCATTCAACAAATCACCCTGTGCTAAATGCATAAAGTGCACAAACTTATAAGATTACTTAAATAAAATGGAAAGATCTAGAAAGTGCTCATTACAGCTGTAAATGAGGGGTAATGCACACTGTAATCTGTGGTTACACAACATTTTACTCGATAACTGATTATTTTCTGATGCTGCAGACAGGGTATGTAACTCCCATATTACAACAAGAGTCCTGACATTCAATTTGCCAAGATCCAGACATGTCAAATGAACACATTATCTTGACAGGTGTTAATCAGGGGTGTGAACAAATTGGTGCCACATATCCGTCAGTTTCCAGTGTTGCTTTAAGGCTCTATTTTCAGAAGAATGCATGTGTATTTTTGGGTCATCAAGTTTGCAGCTCAGTATTAGAGCACAGCAGAAGAATGCAGGCTGTGAGCTGTGCATCCACACAGAGGAGAGGAAGCTCCTGGTATGATCCTTGAGTAAACTATGCACTCAGGCAAAGTTCACCTACAGCATAAAGTACACCACAAAGAAGCAAAATAGATGCAAATGTGCAAAAACACGACGCCAAAAATACATTTTTCTCCACATTCCGCTGTCCTGACGCTGCAAAAACAAACAAGTGGGTGCAGACGCTCAGCACTGCATGTTTTTAACTCTTTTTAAACACTTTTTTTTTAAATGCCAAGCTACACAGTCGTCACGTTGGCTCTTTTAATTGACAAGAGGAAACTGTCAGCGGTATAAAAAAAAACGACCCTGCATTTACAAGCTATTGAGGAGCAGAGGAGCGTTAGCTGTGCATGCTAGCCGCCCAGTCGTATCAGCTGAATATACTCTTTTAAACACAATTAGCTTTCTTTTGTTGTGTTGGCCAAAAATTAGCAACTTGACAGGAGTTATGCAGTCCGTTTTCTGACAATGAACAGCGTTAAAAGAAAAATACCCTGGTGCACAATATCACTGTCTCCATGCATGGCGCATTCAAAGCCCCCCAGGTGAAACACGGCTCCCTCCTATAGAGGCTGACACCGCATGCTGTCAGATGTTGACAAGCTGTCAATGGATGGTAATACCTGGGACCTGTTGACTCCTCCTCCCGGTCCCCTCGGGCTGCTGCTGGAAGTTCCCCCGCGTTTCTCCGCGGTGGTACTCTCTATAAAGTTTTCTTCCGGCTCTCAAAATCTGCAAAACAGTGGCTCTCAGGGGTCCCCGGGCGTCATAAACCCCCGAAATGGGCAAAAACCGCGCGGTGCGGAAAGAGACGGAGAGCCGCTTTTCAGAGAGAGGACAAGTTTGGCACGGCTCGCGCGGAGGCAACCATTGCAGTCACGTTCTCCGGCTGTGAAATCCAACACTGACTCTGACCCCGCCCCTTTGCTTTTCACTGGGCCAGTCCTCAAAAAGTGCTCCCTCCAGATGTGCTGAAACCATGTGAGGCAACAAGAAAAGTACAGTATTCTTTTAGTTGCATATTTTCATCCTTTCTTTCTTTTTTTGCTCATCGCTTCTTTATGCTTCGCCAAACTGCACAAACTCTCTTTTCTATTTTCAATCCAGCAGCCGTGATGGATAGTATAAAAGAACATAAGCACTGTACAATTTTGAGGCACTCCACTACATTTCCAAAGTCAATATTGTACTTTGTACAGCTCTACATTTATTTGACAGCCTTTGTTACTAATGCTATACCAAATATAGATTATTTGTGCTTTACCAAAATGCGAAAACTCTCATCAGCCGAGACCAGTGATGGATAGTTACAAAGTAGCTACATTTACTCAAATACTGTACTTTTATTGACAGCTTTTGTTGCTAGTTTATTTTTAGGTTTATACTATTAGCTTATACAAAATCTAAATCAATAATTAAATACACTTTGAAATAAATGTATAGGTTAAGATATCCAGCTGCAGTATATAGTTATTCCAATTAGCTGTACATTTACCAGTTGTGATAAAAATACATGAATAATCATAATAGTTACCCAGAAACTCAATATAAGATTCTGAAAAAGGCCATTACGCATAAGGAGTACTTTAAGTATATTTTGATGGCAATACTTTTATACTTTTACTTAAATAAGATTTTTAATGTAGGACTTCTACCTATAATAACGTACTTTTAAAATGTAGGATTGCCACTTTTACTTAAAGGGGACCTATCATGCAAAATGCTCTTTTTTACATAAATATGTGCCCCCGGTGTGTCGGGGAACTCACGAAATCCGCGTTTCTCTAACAGGGCTGCAAAAGAGGGGTATGAGCAGTATGAGGCATGGATGGGTGATCTGTTTGGTATTTTAAGCAAAAGACTTCACAGACATGTTTTGTATAGCTATGGCCCTACAATATATGTTTCCAATATAGCATAATAGGTCCACTTTAAGTAACACGTCTGAGTACCTCTTCCACCTCTGGCCAAGACTAAAGAGAGTTTATTGAGTTGTAAAATAACTATACTTAACCTCTAATGTAAGGTCAAAGTCAATGGGCTCCCCAGTGTATGTGTGATTATGTAACTTTTGATTTTTTAAAAGCTATGCATCCAAACTCAGGCTTGCAACAGAGAGTGTAACAAAGCCAAAGCTATTAAAATAATCATTTTACAAAAGCCTCAAGATATGGAGTTTTGGCATGACATAGATAAAAAAATGACTTTACTTTTGCAGAGAATATAATAAAATAACAATGCATTCATTATATAACCACGGTGAGTAACATCTACATACACAAACTTAAATGCCTCGAAAAAAATGACATCTTACATAAATCATGATGTTTCCTTTATCTACCTTTTTCTACGTTGTCATTCCTTAAAAGCTTATATCAACTTATAAAATGTCAACTCTTTATTATCGCTGTGAGACACCAGAAAACTGGGAAAAGAAATCAGATTTCATTATGTATCATTTGTATAACATTTTAAACGATCTGGCTTTTCCTGCATTGCGTGACTAGGTTCCTTCCCTGCTGAGAACACCATTAAAGGCTCTAAAATATCTTCCATCACAGATTGTGCTGTACCCTTTGTCACAGTGCATTTGGGCAGGCAGATCCTTCCGTTAAACCCTGCACTCAGAGGAAGCTGCCAGTTCACATCAAGAGCAAAAACAAATTATACATTTGTCTTGCAGCAACCCAACAATGTGCTGCATTTATAATCTGCATTTATACTAAACTCTTTTTGATTGTGATATTTGAAATGCTTCTATAATTTACATTTTATTCATGTGCAATATGTTAAATGAGATTTACTGTTGTGCATGTCTCGTTTTGTGAGAAATGTCATAAATGTGGATGTTTTTAATTGCGAATGAGAAACAAATGCATGTGAAAAAGGAAGATAGGCTAGCTCACAGAAAATAGTTTCTGTAATATGTAATCAGTTACTTAAAGGAGACCTATCATGCAAAATGCACTTTTGTACGTCTTTCATACATGAATATGTATCCCCGGTGTTCCAGGGAACTCACCAAGTGTCAGAAAACACAACCCTCTCTAATTTCCTCCCTACCCCAATACCTCTCTATTTTCCTCCATACCCAAATCTCTTAAAAAGGGGCTGCAACGGATCTGATACAGACTGATCCAGATTTGAACACTTCTCTGACGTCACAAAAGTGGTGCTACGGCTATTGGGCCAACTCCACCAATCAGGAGGAGACAGCCACGGACATTGCCGTTCGAAAGCGCTGGAGACGCTGTAGTACATATGCCAGGCCTGTAGATGGTGCTGTTCTCAGCCCATGAAAAGACAGTGTTAAATTGAGCGAAATAAGGAATGGCTAAAATGCATGATCTGTTTGGTATTTTGAAAAATAAAAAGTATAAATATGCCTTATATAGGCATGGTCCTACACTATATTATTCAAATATAGCATGATAGGTCCACTTTAATTATTATAATATTTTGTATTATTGTTTAACAAATCACATGTTTTGTGTGCACAATTATACCCATCGAGCTATATATTTTCTTCTCAATCAATTATAAATTGGTTGTGTTTTTGCCAATTACTCACTAGCAGCTTAAAAAAGATGAATAATTCTCATCTTTATTTATATTGTACATTAAACCCCCTTTATATATTTACAGCACTGATGAGACAAATGGTCAATTCCAGTCAGCTAAAGTTTTGGTAATGTGTATGTTGTCCTTTTTTCCCAGTGTATTGTCTATAAGAATAATTGGTGAATCAAAAATGTCAACAATAGTTTGATAATACTATATAATAGTTGTTAGACCTATGTGTTTGCGTGCGAAGGAGTTGAGTAAAGGTAGCTCAGGTTCTCTCCTGTCTCTCAGATATGACTGCAACACTCAATAGCTTTCCGCCCCAGAAAACAAAGTTTTGCGGCAGGTGTTAAAATGTGACACCCATTGTCCCATATGATCGGACAAAACGCCACCAGATAGCTTGTGACATACTTTGCCTCGTCGTTTACCTTCTCAGTTGCTTTTCATCTTTCCCTGGGAGCGCTGACACCGCTACAGAGGGAGTGCGGGCGACAGTATCCTCCTTGTTTCCCCTGTTGCCTTTAAGGCCCTCTTACACAAAAGCTCCGAGTGGCACTAAGCTGTGTCAGTTGTCACACATCACCACACAAGTGAGGAATGCAGTGCTGGGGGTGGTTGGTTGTGACATGGGACACACAGGCATGCGAGTAACCATGGACTGAGGGAGTTGTCAAATGCTAAATGTATGTAGTGGTGGAAGTAGCTGCTGTCATAACAGTGTAGTTGCAAAGGAAGAACTGTCTTATTTCCTTGCATTCTGACAGGTGGACCTGGGGCCCAGCATGCGTGAGTAGCATGTGTTCAGATGGGCTCGCCCGCTTTTACTAAACTGCAGCATGGGGATTTGTATTTGCAGCGTTTTTGTTTCCTCTACATATCTTTAGGTTGAATAGTAGGACCTTGGGGGTCTCCTCCGCCCAGCTGCATCCTCCACTTGTAGCACACTGGAAGTAACTGGAGTTGAATCTTAATGGCTTACCGTCCTTGTGAAGCTCCCCGCTACTTTGAGATACAGACTGCATTTCAACATGTACTGTACAGCCATGAAGACATGTCAAGCATAGTTAAAAGCCGTGTGATGCATGTTTCATTTCATGCTGGAACTGCATGCAAGCAAACCTCCAGAATGACAGGCTCAAGGCATTCGTTTTGTGTCTGGCTGTACGGAGACAGAAAATCTGAATTTGGGCATGCTTCGAAGATCCAAGATTGTTAATGCTGCCCTTAAACTATGTAGACTAGACAGACATTGACATGAAGGATTACGTACAGCATACATAATGTAGGCTTCTGATTTAGGTTAGTGGAACACTTACTGGTTCGTAATCTTTCTTTTCAATTTGAGATAGCATTCATTACTTCAGTAGTTCCCAAGCTGAGGGCCAGAATCCCTCAAGGGGCCAGACAATCCCAAGTTGATTAACAGAAGATAGGAAAACAAACAAAACTATACAGACTACATAAAATCCTGCTTATTTTCCAGACTATCCTTTAATGTTAGCTTTTTTATGTTCATGGATGTTAAGATAATTTGACCTTTAACCATTTAGTCCTCAGAAAAATATCCAAATAAAGTAAGGAAAATAAAATGGTGATGGGTCACTGCTTGGTTTTAAAGGAATCATTGGATGAAAAAATTGAAATCACTCTTATTTCTGTACGTTAGGCTTAAATATTAAACCATTGCTAACAGCCGATTAGCATAGCTTAAAGTTTGTAAACATAGGTAGTTTGGCTCTGACATAATCCAACTACTAGTACCTCTAAAGCTAACTTATTGCAGACTATGTCTTAAAGCGGAGAGAATTTTGAATGTATTTTCCACTGGAGCTTATAAGCGATCAGACTAACTGTTTATCCCCCTTCCCTGAACTATTGCTAGGCTAACCGTTACTTTCAGCAAGGCAGTGAATAAGCCCATTTAAAAAATAACGTTTTTATTCCTGTAATAAGTCATCAAAACAAAACTGCAACTACCTAACATGGACAAAGTCCTCCATGCTGAATGCTGCCATAACGCTGCGATTCCCTCCTATGAAAACCTGACATTCTCTGCAGAAGGTCATTGTTACAGGACTGTAGTTTAACGTTTCTCTCATGTTTTTATTTTTACAAGGCACCTGGTGAGCCCCTTAGCAGGTGCTATGTTTCGGCCTCGAAACGCTGTGTGCTTATTTACTGTCCCTTGAAAATCCAGTGCTATTTCCAAAGTGGCGGTAACATTAGCCAGCCTGATCGATGCCTTCACCTCGAGCTAGGGGCCACATATCATGGCCTGGTTCACAGAGAAAAAGAGAGGGTGGCTCCACGTGTCG